TTTCGGAGAAGAAAAATTTATTAAAAAAAAAATAAATTGTTATTCTTTTTATTTTTATAATATAAATAAACACTTAAATGTCATGTAAACGCAATTTGTTATTGCGGTCATATGACTTTACTAGCATTAATTCACATTATGGAGGGTGTGCGGATACTTTTGTCCACCCTCTGTAGAACTCCAGGTGGGATCTTCCATCGATATTTTTAACAGTTTTTGTCATAATTCAACTAGTATCACGGTTATTTTTACTGATGGCATCAGATCAAAGTCCATGTTTTTGATGACTTTAATCAATGTAACATTTAACTCTATAAAGAAGAAAATTCAGTGTAAAAATTTGATAAAAAGAAAGAAAAAATCCACAATATACATATCAAATACCACCCCATATAAGTGACAAACTTCCCTCTCAAGAATACAATATCACCTATATAAAATTCTTCAATGTGCGTTTTGATGTCTCTGTCAGAAGGTATGAAAGCTTTAACCTTTAAATATACGACTTTAGTTGGGTCATCATTGGATAACCTTGAGACGACCATAATTTCTTTTATAGTAAAATCTTGCATAAGCCATTCTGTTAATTTATGAATATAAGCAATTGTTGATGGTTTTGCGAGCATAGTGTACTTTAATGAAAACATTTTGATGTTTTTATTTTAATTTAAAAAAATTAATTAAGAAATATTTAAAAAAGATGAGAGAGACAAAAAACCTTTAAGTATCTTTTTATACTTTTTCATCTCAATTTTCCCCACTTATCGACTTTTATTTCTAAACAGAAAATTTCTTAGAAGGTTTGAGTATTGTTCCTGTAAAAAAAAAATGGCTTTGACGGGCTTGTAATTGGGTTGATTGATTGCTTTTTAGGCATAAATTATTCGGCGCAAAAAAAATCTAAAAAGTGATAAGCCATTCGTCAAGAAATAAATCATCTGTAAAAAAATTGGCTTTGATGGCTTATAATTGGAAGCCTCCGATCATTCGTCACGAAATAAATTTTTACTTTTTTGGTTAACATTTAAATAAAATCACAAGCCACCACCACCACAAAATAAGAAATACATAATTCCGAATCTAATATCTATTCGCAATCGTAGCATATAGATTACCTAATCGATTAGGATTAAGAATACTCTATATTAAATTCGCGGTCAAAAATTGTGCAGATCGATTTGACCGTATTACTGTCCAAAGACCCGAATAGAAAAAATGTAGAGTCGGTTTTCTTCTCTACGATATTTGTGTAGGGATGGACATTAATCTGGTTAATAAGAATTGTGTGGTGATACAAAAAAATCTATAATGTTAATTAACCAAATCTTAATTAACCGATTTCTTAGGTGTGTGAAATTTTTTCTGTCGCACAGATCCAACTTCATATTAAAAATAAATCGTTGCACGGAAAAATATCTCTATTTACAGTCATGTTCGTTTTCGGATCCTTCAAACGCTTGCCTACCGGTGGTATCTCAAACACACTGATTAGCGGCTGTGTTTCTCGTTATAATACAAAAGTTAATGAGATATTTTTCAACCGGAAACGAGAACTTGTCAAGTTCACAAATGCATTCAGTGCTACTCCGGAACTTCATGTTATTTTAGGACCTCCTAGTACTGGGAAAACGGCCTTGGTTCGTGAGATAACAAGTAAAGGCAATTTCAAACCTCTTTTTATCGACTGCCGTATAGGACAATTTGACACTCCAACGACCGTATATAATTCGATTTCCATGCAATTCAAATCATTCTTCGATGAACGAAAGACATTCCTGAAAAAAACATTGCCAGAAACGGAGATCAGGGCCAAGCTTCCTTATTTTTTTAATTTAAAATTCAAGCTATTTGATGAGAAAAAGGAAGAAATTACTTCTAATACTGTCAGTGAGTTACTTGGTAAAATTGCTAATGCTCTTCCGAATTGGAGCTTTTGGAAAGGTTACGATGTATCTCCACCCATTTTGATCATTGATGAAGCAAACTTGCTTAGTCAACTTGGTGACAATTCGAAGGAAGGGCAATTCTTCTTAAATCATTTCTTAACTGGCTTGTGGCGAATACGAAACAAGAAAAGCGTTTTCACGCTGTGCTTACCTCTTCCGATTCATTCTTTTTTAACTGGATGGTAAATCGTAAGTCTATCTTATAATAATATTGATAGCAATGTAAAGGCTTATAATTCTCTAATCCGCATTTATTGCCTAGTTTTGCGAAGCCCACATGTAACCCCGTATGTTGTCGGAGATTTGAGTAGGGAAGAAGCCGAAAAATATTTTGAAAAGCATATTCTCCCTCGATATGGTATGCCTTTACTGAACTCATCTATTTATATGTACAGAGGATTCACATAGTGGTATTTGTTATTTAAAAAAGAATGCAAAGAACTCGAAGGCAAATTTGATCGCATCCGCAGAATAACGGGTACACGCATGCTGATTATTGATAGGTATGTTAAAGAATACAAAAATTGCGAAGGAAAACTTGAAGGTACATATCAGGTTTATTTTTTTTTTTAAGATAAGCATTTTTCGTTGTTAACTTTAAAAATCTAATGTTCAAATTGTTTTATAGATATCCGATTTTCAGTTTATGAATCAGAATATCATAGTTTGAAACGTGGTCTATATCCTGATAAATTAAGGTATTTAGATAAGCCTACTCCACCATTCTGGAAAGGTCGCGATTTGATCGTTACTATGGATGCAATAGTAAAAGCAGAAGATCAAGGATATATTTTAGAAGATGATTTGATTGAAATGATCGGTTCTGATCAAGTTGATTCACTTGTAGATTATAATTTTTTGCACCGTCGACCAACCTCACGATTTGCTAATGACATCATTGACCCGCCGAATAAAATAATTCTCACTGCTACGAATCAGCCATCATTGCGCGCGATGGAACAAGTTTTATCTGAAGTTACTCAAAGAAAAAAATAATCGCTATTAGAATGGTTTATAATTTTCTCACGTAATTAAAATCAAAAATAAATTTGCCATAAGGCTACATGATTTGCGAAAAACTTTTTTATGTAATTTGCACTTTCCGCTACTCTGGATTATTTATCAAAGTTATCATTAATTTTGCTATCTATTCATAAACCCAGTGATGGGCAGTAATTATTTTTTATTGGAATTGGAAGTATTATTGGAATTGGAAGAATTGGAAGTCCAAAGTACTTCCAATTTTACTTAATTTAAAATTTATATGTTTCTATGGGCATTATAACTTTTTATTGGAAGTGGAAATATTATTGGAATTGAAAGAATTGAAAATTCAAAGTGCTTCCAATTTCCAATGCCATTACTACATAAACCAATATCATCTAATGTACTAATAAGCCTATCTTTCTTCTTAAAATTATTTCATAAAATCCTTAACTGTATCTTTTCTAATTTTTCCAAAGTGTATGAATATCCATTGTTACATAGAGACACATTTCCTTTAAGTTTAAATTTTTTCACTTTGGATTTGATCAAAATTTGCTTGAAATGGGTTTAATTTAAAAAAGCAGTTATTGAAGCATTCTTTTAAATATAGATATATTTCTTCAAAAAATTGATCAACTGCTTTTTTTTAAAAAAAATATTCAAAAGAAGATTCAATTCCAAAACATCTACCTTACAAACCCCCGCCAAAAGTCTCTGAACGTTATCTTTTGGCTATTTCATACCGATTACATCATATGACTATTTAATACTGCGGTCATGTAATATTCCTGACCTTGTTTGCTTGAATCAAAACCAAATAAAAGCGTGTTTGGTTTGTTTAATTTGATTTTTAACCAAAATAATATTTTACCTTCCGAAAACCATGAAAATGTTTAACAGATCACGGCGGTATAAATTTTACTGTCAACGTGGCGATAGTTACCGAGCTATTGCCGCAAATATCAGCTGTGGATTTTAACAGCATTTAGAATTTTAAAAAGAATGGATGACACCGGAATCGTTAATTTGAGGCTGCGTTCTGGTCGACCATCCTTAATTAAGATTCGCAACGAAGTTGGTTGAAGCGATTTGTCACTATATCGCAGCAAATTCAGCTGTGATGAAGCAAATAAAGGCCCGACTAAGTACTATTTATTTAGTACCAAATTTGTAGCATATCATAAATTAATAAATAAATTAATAAATTTTTTTAATAAACTTTAAAATTTTAAGTTTATATTGAGCCAAAAAGTGTTCAGAGACTTTTGGCGGGGGTCTGTATAATAAATTTATCTTCCTTTAATTTTGAAAACACTATTTTATTAAACTCTTATTTTGATTCAATACCTATTATGCAATATTATGTTAAGGTTTGTAATCAATTTTCAGTTCAATTTGAACTGAATCTATATAATGTATGTCATATGCGTTGATCATTTTAACTAGAATTATTTTCATTTTGCATTATTATTTGTATTACAAAATGTCTGCCAGCATAATTTCAAATGAAATAATAACATATTTCTTCAACTTTCTTTAGCAATTAAAAAAAATTCCTATATAAATCATTTGCAAGTTGAATATGTGAGAATTTTTGTAAAGTTTAAGATAAAAAACTGATCTAACAATAAGTTATAAATGCATTTTATGTACTAAATTTATTTACTTTACAATCTAAACTACTCTTTGAAAACATTTAATTAAATAATAAAAAAACTAAAAAATCATCAAATTACTTTAAATATAATGTGCTTTAAACCCTATTCTTTATCAAAATCCAATTTTATCACAAATTCATTGATTGATTTTATAGCAATTGATTTATAACCTTTTTTTATTGATAAATTAATAAGTTGAATTCTCAATTTATTTTATTGTATCGATGATAATACAAAGGTGTTTTGGTTAAACATCCACTATTTGCTGCTTTCTCGACAAATGAAATTAATAAGGATTTAACTGAATTAGAAAATTTGGAAGAAAATAATCATAGGGATAATAAAGTTAAAAGGCTGGATTCTCCTACTATAGAATTTGTGAATGATCATTTTCTATACCTAATGCAAATGAACCTGAGAAATCCTATATTTAAGATTAAGTTTTTTTTGTGAAATAATTACCTTTCAATTATTTTTTATTTATAAAACTTATATATTTTAGGTTATCAAAAAGTTTGACCTGGATTAGACTGAGAGATTTAATCTCATATGCAAGTTATATGATGGTTATGATTGGGAACGTAAAGGAAGCGTTGAATTATTTGACACGTGCAAATTCTCAAGCTAAAAATGTAAATGTTGTAGAGACAGGAACAACATCTGGTTCTTCGATTAGAGAACAAGTAGTTATCCTTCATTAGAAGATAATATAATATAATTTATTTACAATGCTCAGTATAGAAATTTAGATTATGATGTAAAATCTGAAGTCGATTACATAGCTTACTATTAGATCCTGACAATATGAATATTCAAGAGGGTAAATGGTCTGAGCATTCAAATCATCTATCTTGACCAAAGTTAAGTCACTCAAGCTCTAGTAAAATTGACATAAACTTGAAAAAGTGAATTTGGAATTCAATATTTTTTCCGATGACAATTTATCAGCTTTTAGGCTGTTGCTTTTTGTCAGAGATACAGAAATCCTAGACAATATAAAGATGTCTACGTGAATAAGTTTTTATCGCATATGCACCTGGAAAATAATACTAGTCCACAGAGTAAATCAAATATGATTAAGGTAGAATTAAATAGCGTTTGTTCCACTCCAACTGATGTATCTGAAGAGTTATGAATAAAGGTAAGGTTTAATTTAAATAATTCTTTTTAAAAATAATGGATTTGTCATGACTTTTATTATTAATGATTTTTCGTAGGCATGATTTTTACCGCTAATGTTTTATATTGATAAAGATGCTCTTCAATTCTTGATTCGATTTCCTTCTATTCAAGATTCTACCATTGAAAAAAATCTGTAGGTGGAAGATGATACTTATTCCCTTAAGTTTAGTTTTAATAGCTTAGTGTCATATTCCCTTAGTTAATTCATAACTATCATTTGTCATTATGGTAATTTAATAGAATCTTTTGAAATATATCCAATTAAAATGAAGGTCGATTATAAACCTAAGAACATTAATGTCAAGTTGATAAAAGTGAGTTCAAATAATCAAATCATTCGATTTTTTACTGAGTTCCTTGATCACAATGAATAATTTATTTTAATGATCAAGGTTAAAGGATGTTAACGTTTATTTGAGAAATTGGATGCAGCATAGTTACCACATATAAAGATCACTCAAGTGCCCAATGTAGTATCTGGTGTGGCTCCAATACGTTCGTTAGTTAATTTAGGTTCAGGTGTTGCTGATCTTATTCTCTTACCAATTGAACAATATAAGAAAAATGGTAGGATTATTAGAGGTTTACAAAAGGGGACAGAGTCTTTTGCACAAGCTACAACTATGGAAGCAATCAGATTTGGTATCAAACTTCAATTGGAACGCAGATTTTGCTTGAACAAGCTAATGAAATTCTTTCTTTCGAATTTCAAACTGGCATCAATACAAGGAGTAATACTAATCCTACAGTAAGTACCATATATGAGGAGTTTGATAGCGAAGAAGACAATTTAAGGAATTAATAAACAATTATGCTGATCAGCCAACAGATTGAATGAAGGTAATTTTATTGATATTTTATAGTTTATCAAAACTTTTCTGATAATTTTTATTTAGGCATTGAAGTAGCTTATAAGAGTTTACAAGTAAATATCAGTACTACAGCTCATAAAATATTTACTGTAAAGTTTAAAATCATTGAATATTTTTAATACAGAAATATAAAAAACGATAAGAGTGCTGTCAGATATTACTTAATATTATGTTAATATAAGCACCTACCCCCTCCTTCAAGTAAGATATGCTGTGTAATCACATGATATAATTTGATATGTGATCAAAAGTTTAAAATAAAATTGATATAGTTTATTATAGTGATAAATAAAAAATAGTTTATAGTCTAATCTAATACTTAAATTTGGAA